TTTTGGGCAAACAAAGCAGTGTGTCACAATAAGCGCGTGAAGAAGGCGTGAGGGAGGTAGTGACGCCCTCCCTCACGCTGCATAACACATAACCTAATTACCATCAAGAGTGTACATTCCTCAACACATATTACATCCGTCCTCTAAGTATTTGTTTGGATTTTTTGCACTTAAAATTAGCAAACTCTAACCACTAATAAAATATAATTCATAAGTAATATTGATACAAAAATATTTTTATTATATTTATTTTATAAAATAGTTTCAAAATATTGTTTTATATAATTAATATACCACATAATTTTTATTTAATTCGTGATCAATGTTGAAAATAGTTGACTGCAAAAAGTCGAAACTGAATAAATATTCGGAGACGGAGGTAGAATTTATTATTCACTCCTCTTTATTATGTCCATCTCAAGAAATGTGTGATGAAAAGTTTGTAATTGGTACTGTTCCGGTGGGTGCAGCGGGCCTGAGGATAAATCCTTAGTCCCGAGTTCGCAACATAGGTAAGTTATTTTAATATTTTTGAGTTAAATCTTGTTGTTTGAGCATGACGATAATCGGTGACATGTGATTCTTCCGATAGGCCGCTGAGTATTTTGTTATATTTATGGAAATGTTTAAGTGATTGTTATCAATTGAGAACTCTGTTAGAAATTGGCCACCTAGTATACCTAGGCGGATCTGATCTGAATCGGTTAGTTTAATCACCAATAGGACTGTTGTTAGGTTCGGGCTTGTGGAGCATGCTTTCAAATTCAGTGGTCCAGGGTTCAAAACGTACGTACGGGAGTCATTGTCCTACTTAAGGGATTCCTTGGTAGAGACTCTGATAAGTCGGGTTTGGGTTAGTTCTTTTTATTCTTTTTTAGGCATTTTTTAAGATTTTTAGAGTTTAATTTTTAGTTGTTTAGCATAGTTTTATTTTAATTTCTATTTTTTACAATCTTTTAATTTTCTTTCAAAAATAGTAGTTTTTTTATCTTTTTTTTTACATTCTATTATTTTTATTTTCCCTAACCCAAAATTATTAGATCTCTTATTTTTTGGAGAAAAATGTAGCAAAAAGGCCAAAATGAAGTTCAAGTTTGAAAAGAAGAGATCTAATTTGGGCCGGAGCCCAAATCATCATCAACAAAAGAAGGCCAGCCCATCATTCTCTTTCCCCAATTCAATCTCACACACGCAAGAAAGGAAGAACCAGCGACATTCTTCTTCGTCAAACGGAAGAAAAAAACCAGCGTAACTCCTCCAACGTCTCTCCTTCTCCTACGCTCCTCATTCAATTCAGCAACGAAAATAATTTTTCAACGGGAAATAGCGCTCCTTGCTGCTATAAATGGGCGACATACATCAAGTGGCAAGGGGGGAAAACACGAGGAACAGCAACGATTGAGAGCCGCGGCTTAGGTGATGACCGGCGAGTTAGTCCGGCGTCCGGCGGCAAAAGCTCCGGCCAGAGGTTTATTGGTTCCTTCAAGCTCCAATTCTTCAATTACTTCATCTTCTTTCTCTAATTGGTAACCCTATATGTTATTTCTTCAATTTTTTCTCCATTTCTTTGTAAAAGTGTTGTTTCAATTCAAATTTATACTTTTTTTGCTTGTTGTGTTAATTTCGAAAATTACAAAATGGTTGGTGTTCTTTTATGGGTTTTTTATGTTATATTAAATCCCTTATGAATGAGAATGAATTCTTACTAGTTTCTTCAATTTTTGCGCAAATTGATGTTAAATCGGTTGAATTATAAATTGATTTCATAAGTAGGTTGGTATGTCGAATTCGGTTATCATTGAAGCTAATTTAGCTACATATTTTAGTTAAGTGATTTTCAAATTCATACGTGAATCTTTTTTGTGACTTGTGTTTTGTAAAATTTTAAGGTAAATGATCTTCTTAGCCACATAAGTCGACCGTTTTCCTTAAGATTCGTTATAGAGTGATTGTTTATGTCTTGGTGTTTTTGTTTGTTATTTTCATAAAAATTGGGATTGTTTAAGCGCAATAAACAACTCTTGATTTAATGAAAATATGTAATGTTTTTCTTATGTGAATAGATTACAATTCTTATGCTTGAGTAGTTCAAGGAGACCTGCAAAATATTTTCATCATTAGACGTTAAAGTTTATTAAAGTGTATCAAATGTTCTTCATGNCCAAAAGGCCTTTGAATCTTTGACTCCGGGCCTTATAGAGAGTTGACGATCCTCTATATGTGGTTAAGGAAATGAATCAACTCGAGCCTTTGAATTCTTTTCTATTCTTAAGTGCGTAAGTTACGTAATATATTGTCTAAGTGCCTATTATACGTGTAATGTTCTATTTGTGTTCGTTCTCTTTTTAATTTTGTTTCGGGTTCTTGGCGGTGTTTCTTGGGTTACCTTTGTTGGAGAAGTTGATTATCTTTTGAGCTTGTTTTCCCCATTTTTATTAGAAAAATCCAAAAAAATAAGAAAATATAAAAAACCAAAAAATATTTACTTTTTATTCAACCCCCTTTTTGTATTTTAAGTTATAAATATAAGTTTTTATATATTTTTTAGCATATCTTAAGTATATGTTTTATGTTTATAAGTTATATTATAAGTTCTTTGTTTATATAAGTTATATTTATATGTTTTTAGTTATAAGTTTTATTATAAGTTTTATAAGTTCTTATCATATGTGTAGTTTTTTTTATTTTATTTAGTGACAACGTGTTTGCATACTAAATTGGTTTTAAAAAGTACAAACTTTCTCCGTGGGATCGACCCTTACTTGCCCTAGCTATAGTTTTTATTTGATTATATATTGAGGGTTAGTTAAGGATATTTTATAAATTTTTTAATTTGTTTTGGACAGCACGACAAGTCCCCAACAGACTCCAACCCGCCCATTGACGATTCTCTTTGGGTTTGTTCGAGCATTGGCCTCGAGGGATCCGCTCGAGTGTCCGTAACTCTGGTCTGTTGAATTTAGCCTTAGTGTTGTAGGGACATAAATAGCCCTTTGGGAATAAATGAATTGGAACTGTTGGATTCTTGTAACTGAAAATAAATGTTGATTATTCACTGATGTTGCTGATTATATAAATGCGATATTATCTGTGAAATTAATTCTAGCGTTAGATATTTCCTTACTCAGCTTTCAGCTGAGCGTGTAGTCTTGTTGTCTTTGATTGCACGCAGGTAGGGATATAGATCGTGAGGGCCATCCCGGGGGACGTTGAGACGTGACGCAGTGGATGACGTCACAATTTTAATTATGTACATTTAATTATTGCATTATTAAGTATTTGATTTAAACATTGTTTTAGGAAGTTATTTTAATGCTTCCGCGCGTGATGGACTTTACGCCGGACTTTTCGTATTTAATTTGGTGTTTGAATGTTTTTGAATAAACTGTCTAAACTGTTCTGATGTGATTATCAATTTAGTAGCAACCCGATTCGTTAACTCCTTAGTTCGAGTTACGCAAGTTGGGGTGTTACATAAAGTATGTAAAATGAAGAAACATGGTGGACTCGGGATAAAGAACATCATGTATTAGAACTATGCTGCCATTATGAGACTAAATTGGGACACAGCTGAGAAACAATATGTATTATGGGTAAAGTGGATACACACTAGGTACATTAAAGGATGTGATGTGTGGAATTATATGCCCTAACTTGATTCGTGTCACTATTGGAAGGAAATGGTAAAGATACAAAAGAAGTTCTTAAATATGCCTAATGATAAGCCATTTGAGATTAGAACAGGTTACCCATGGCTACAAGGGGAACAATCAAACCCCATCTGGAGGGAGTGGGTATGGAACAGATTAACACCACCTAAAGCCTAAATCATCTTATGGATTTTGTGGGGAGGTAGGTTGCAGACGAAGGACAAACTTATCAGATATATGGACATCAACCCATGTTGTGTGTTCTGTGAGGAAAAAACTGAAACGAAACAACACTTGTTTTGGGATTGTGGATATGCACAAGAGATATACAATATTGTATGGCAGGGACTCAATGTAAAGATCAGGCCTAGGTCTTTTGAAGAGGTGGGAGAAGAACTCCAACAAATAAGGAATGCGAAGAATAAGAGAATTGGGTTAGCAATTTGGGCAGCATGTATCTATTATATGTGGAGGGCAAGAAATGAAGCAATACATCAAAAGAAGAGGAAAGCTGAAGATGTAATTAACTGGTTCCCTTAACCTACTACCGTCACTGGCCCGGGTTGTGATACTGGTTTGGAATCCGACCCGGCCCTACTGGTGTATGGTGTCTAATAAGTGTCGCAAATTAATTATATCATACAACCAGCTGTACCGTAACGATATAGCCGACAATTAAATGGGAGGAGAGGTGCGTCAATGAAGGGGAAACTGAAGTCAGGCTGGAAATTGAGGGAGTTCGAATGTGGAGCTTGCGAAGATTGAAGCGGTGACGGGCTCCGATTTCAATGAATTGCTGGCTGAATTCAAGGAATTGAAGGCAGTTCACGCACTTGAGGAAATTAGATGTCCGACGAGGAGGAAATTGCAGGTTTGGCAAGAGGTGACAGTTAGTATAAGAAGATGAGACAAATTCGAACACGATTTCAAATGTGAAAACTGCTCTTCAATTGATCTGATGATCACTAAGGTTTCGAGCATGGAGATTGTGTTCTATTTTTGAGATCCACTCCTCTCAAATCTGATTAATTAAAACCACTTTTTCAAACTTTAGTTGAAAATGAGTGTTTACTTATTTCACAATGATTACTATGCTATTTTTAAGAATGAGGATTACGTTATTTATTATAATTATATTGAACAAATGTGTGAAAATAGGTATTGCGTTATTTAAAAATGAGTATTACGTTATTTAATAATGAGTACTATGTTATTTCAAATGAATACTTATTTTTATATGAGAATGAGTATCAGTTTTTTCCTCAGAATGAGTATGAGTACAACCGGGTTTATGTCTGGTACATCTCTATGACCATATACACTCTCATATAAGTGTCAGTCATCCGATTTTTGACGCAAGTTTTTTGGATTATTTTTGAAAATGTCCCCCAGTGCTCTAAGATTCTCCACTTCCCCTAATTTCAGCGGCCTTGAATTCTCCCGGCGGTTACCTTCATCTTCGGAAAGACTTAGCAGCTTCAAATTCCTCTGCATTCACACGCCTTCTGATTCTGATTTACACTCAAAGGAAGCTAAACAGAATTCTTCTCACCACAGAAGGTACAATATACGGAGTATATGATATACTCTAAGTGGGATTCTTGGAAAGATTCTTTATGCCTAGTCCGTATTATTTTCTCTCAGTGGGATCAAACCCAGAACTTTACTTCGTACCTGGTGATTTTCATTCTCCGTATTTTTTGTATTCATATACCTGGGAGTTTATTTCTTCTGGAAATTTGTAGAAGCTAATCTCCCTTTGTGAAGCTAATTTTTTTATTTGATAACTGCAATTATGCAGGGAGAGTGATGATTCCAAGGTGGTTTTAGTGGAAAAGTATGGAAATGGAACCACTAGGAGGTAAAACATGTTTTACATCATCCTATGTCTTTCTAGAGTTGATAGCTTATTTTTAAGTGCCGTTAAACAATGGATATAGAGATGTACTTAATCTTTTAAATTGTTTATGAAGTGTCAACTTAAGTTTTATTTACATCGCATTTTGGACTGAGTGTATTTTTTGGCTATAAGCTTTGAGTTTTTTTGGCATCCTACCCCTTTCCCTGAATAATCTCTGCATAACCTTAAGCTTCTCATTGGGTGAGTCTTTCCGGATTAGGTTCTACCTAATTTCACTCTGATTTTGGACTGTGCACTAGGCCTGGGTTCTCCGCCATCATTTGGGAATAGCATTTTGAATTAGCATTAGCATTTTGAATAATTTTTTAATAGTGCAGATTAATTCGGAAAACACTAAAGCTAAATGCGGAAGTCGTTGCCGAACGGGCAATACATCATTTATTTTTATCAAGTACTTACAGGGACTGATTTTATGATATAGGTATGTATTTGACAATAGATCACAGTTGAAATCCTTTTTTGAGGAACATGCTCCTAAAGTTTCGGGATCCCAAGCTTTGGATATTTTTGACTCCGATTTACCTTGGCTTCCAAGGGCCATCAAAGATTTTGTTTTACCTGCAGGCTATCCAGGTGAGGAAAAGCAACTCACTTTTATTTTTCTTATCTACATTATCTGTTTCTTGTGCCTTGGAGAAATACTTAATGTTGATTGCTGATATGTATATTAATGTTAACGTGAACCTGTAGAAGCATCTTCAACAACATCCATCCAGGCATTGTCACTATGTTCTATTCAGATCCCATTTTATCTTGTGATGCAGATACAGTTTCAGATGATTACTTGGAATACATGTTGCTACAGTTCCCTACAAATGTTACCGGATGGATCTGTGACACATTGGTTACCTCAAGTCTTTTAAAGGCAGGTCAATTCTATTTAGGCATTGAATTTCATTTTGGGTATGTGAAATAGGAAACGGCAAACCCTTTAATGACTCCTTGATGTGGTCCCAAACATATATTTGCTGCACCCACACCAAAGTTACAAGTGAAGTTTTCTGTAGGTGTCATTTCTCTATTCCATGTAGAATGGAATTCATCCATACTATATTTCTTTTGTACTTGTGTATGTGGTACTGACCTCTTCCTGAACAAAGAGTTTGCAGGCAAGAACAATTTGACACCTAACGATAGATTTTATAGTCTAGAAATCTGCAACCTTCCCTTTGTTATAGGAAATAAAACTAGAAGAAAGAAGATGATGAAAATGCTTCTATAAATCCAAAAAATGATGAACCAAATTAAGAAGTTGGAACCAATTATATCGGATAGTTTTCCAAACTAATTACCGCATGTTTGGGGTTCTTCAAAGTTTCCAAAATTTGTAGTCTCAAAGTTAAAAATCATTGCCTCGTTTATTTGCTACATGCCAATATGTGCAAATATTGCATGCACATGTTCTTTTGATCATAGTTTTAAAACTGGAGTGGCCGGTTCAGACTGTGAAGCGGCGAACCGGTGGCCAAACCGGTCTAGTCCAGCCTCTAAGACTGTGCACCAAACTGGCTCGAACCGTTAAGAACCTGCTGGTTTAACTGGTGAACAAGTTTTTTTTTTGCTCAAATTTCCCAAAAAATTTTACAACATTAGGATTCGAACACAAGACCCGATTGTTTTTATGTTAAGGTATCCACCATCTAAGCTAGAGTGCTTTTTGTTACATAATAGCATAAAGTAGCCTAATAGTCCATGATTGAAAGAACACATATTCTAAAAAGACTTCTTTTCATTTTTAAAATTTTGAAAAATATAATGTTGAAATTGTGATTCAAATTCTTAATTATTGATGCAATTGATACTAATACAAAGTACATGTCACAAAACTATTAACTCATTTAAATATTTTTGAAAATATTGGGCAAATTATTAAACAAAAAAATTACCTCTTGTTTTACAAAATTTTTAATGTTTTTTTAAATACCCATAGAATATAATTTTTTTCAATTTAATGCTACTACTCAAATAAATTAAATCGATTATAAATTTAGTATACATCATAAATTCTTTATTTATAGATAGAGAAAGTATTATTTTAGTTAAATATTCTTTTTCAATTTTTTTAGTTTTTTTAATTATTTTTTAATGAGCGGTCTGTTACAAGCAGAAGCCCGAGGCCCGTTAATCTCATGACCACCCCGGGGCCCGTTAACCCCAAGGCGGATAGCCCGAATAATAAGCCCAATCTAAAGCCCAGCTCCATAAGTCTGCATCTACTTCTCAGGGGTCACCCATTAATATTTATATTCTTTTTCATATATATATATATATATATATATATATATATATATATATATATATATATATATATAGACACACACACATTTTCAAATATGTCTAAACCACATGTTCAACCAATCAAACCACTGGCCCAGTGGACCAGTGAATCCGTGCCTTGACCAGTTCAATCACTGCTCTGATTCTTAAAACTGTGCTTTTGATAATAATATACTCAAATATGTCAAAATGCAGGCTGTTGGAGTGGGATCATTCTCAGGAACTGCTGCTGCTGCCTCTGCTGCTGCCATCAGGTGCTTTATTCTAATTTTGCATATTGTGGTTCTCATCTGAAGAACAAATGAATTGTTGTTTCTTTTATGTTAATATAATGTGTCGTGTCAAGGCATGAATACATGTAAGGCTTTAGGTTTGGATGTGTGCTTGTGTTACAGTTATCGTTAGATTTAGTCGGGTTTGTTCAGATATAACCGAATGGGTAATGAGTCAATGTTTGGGTCAGTTAGTATAGAGTCAATTAGTATGGTGTCGTTTAATGTGTTTTACATATTTATTTAGTTAAAAAAAAGTCGGTTAGTTTCTAAAAGTAGTTATGGGTAGTTTCTAATGTTAATAGGTGCGTTGATTGTAATACGTGTGTTGATTTGTAAAAGTTGTGTCAGTTTATTCTCTTTTTATATTTAGAGAACACAATGAATCCTGTAACAGTTCACAATAAGAAATAGTCTACTTTGCTTTGATGTGGTCCTGTCTAAAAATTGGTATCAGAGCGACAATCCAATCAGGACCCAACGATCAAAGGGAGCGGTCTGGAGGCGTGTGATCGGGAGTAGAAAGGCTTCCAGATCATAAAACAAAGCGTTAGAGACTTCCTTGACAAAAGATCAAGAATCTTCGACAAGATTCTTCCTCGCCTAGGACAAGAATAGCAAGTGGGTAGTTTTTTCCTTTTGGCAGAAGCATTCCAACCAAACAGCGCGAGGAGAACAAATCAACGGGGTAGCTTTCATTTAGTGGCTTGGAAGACAGAAAAGCAGGGGCTTGTCTTCTAGTTGATGGTCGATTGCAGGTGGCTTACGACCCAGGAAGGAATCAACGTCTAAGAATTTTGTGAAAATTGTCAAAGGAATTAAAGTCGTGTAATGGAAGACAACAAACACATTGTGACCACAAGGGAGAATAGGTTCCAATTCTAACTGCTACAAACTACACTATTTGGGCCGTGAAGATCAAAGCAAATTTTAATGTTAATGGGATTTGGGAGGCGATCGAATTAGGAACAGAAATCGATCCAAAGAAGAACAATATGGCAATAGCATATCTGTTTCATGCTTTGCCGAAAGAGATCGTGTTACAAGTTGCTCAGTTTACCGAAGCAAAAGAAATTTGGGATGCTCTGAAGACTCACTTCGTTGGTGTTGACAGGGTTAAAGCGGCGCAATTACAGACATTCGAATGAGATTTAAGGACTCTAAAGATGAAGAACAATGAGTCACTTGATGATTTTGCTGGTAAAATTAGTCAACTTGCAACACAAGCAAGCAACCTTGGGTCTGCATTTGAAGACAAAAGATTGGTTCAAAAGCTTTTGGGTTCTGTACCTGAAACGTTCATACAGATCATTCCTGCAATTGAACAGTTTGATGACATTAACACAATGCCGTTTCAAGAAGCGTTTAGAAGATTGAAAACATTCGAGGAACGCATCAAAAAGCCAACTGAGGAAGGAGATACGCATGGTAAACTACTATTCACTAAAGGTGATGGAAAAGAGAAGGTTAAGGAGCACAAATGTGAGCATTGTGGTTGTTGGAGCTCAAACCGAGAAGACTTTGGACGTGGCCGTGGTAGAGGTCGGGGGTCCGGGAAAGGTCAAGATGGTGGCCGGTTTCAGCGGGAAAAGAGTCACATTAATGGTTTTGAGTGCAATGAGCTAGGGCATTTTTTGAACGAATGTCCAAAATGGGATCAAAAGGAACACATTGCAAATTCTATAGAAGATGATGATGAACCAACGTTGCTGTGAAGATCGGTGGGAACAAACAACGATTAGGGGCATGATTGTTAGATTTAATCGGGTTTGTTCACGTATAACCAAATGGGTAATGAGTCAATGTTTGGGTCAGTTGGTATAGAGTTAGTTAGTATGGTGTTGTTTAGTGTGTTTTACATACTTAATTAATTAAAATAAACAGTTAGGTAGTTTCTAAAATTAGTTATGGGTAAGTTCTAATGTTAATAGGTGTGTTGGTTTGAATAGGTGTGTTGGTTTGTAAAAGTTGTGTCAGTTTGTTGTCTATTTATATTTAGAGAACACGATGAATCCTGTAACAGTTCACAACAATAAGTAATCTACTTTGCTTTGATCTGGTCATGTCTAAAAGTTAATGCTTACACTTTTAAATGGGTGGGTATCCATTCTTTTGTACAGATGGGTGTCAAAGGATGGCATTGGTGCCCTTGGACGTTTATTCATTGGTCTGGCAGTTACCAAACCATAAGAGATGAAATGAATCATGATTTAAATCACCTTAGAGGCTTCTGATATGGTGGCATATGTCCAGGTGGGAAATTTGGGAATCTTTTTGATGATGATCCTAAGCAATGGAGAATGTATGCAGACTTTATAGGCAGTTCAGGAAGGTATTAAAATAAATTGGGGATTCAACTGCTCATTTTTTATATTTTGAATTTGCTTGATCAGTATAATAATTTTTTTTGGATCTAGCATCTTCGATCTCAGCACTGCATTATATCCTGCTTATTTCCTTCCATTGGCGTCATTAGGGAATCTTGCTAAGGTATGAGAGACTAATTCTGCATCATTTTTACCATTTACCTTTTACCATATTCCCAAACACCACCAGCAAGTTGACTTCTACCAATCTTTTTTATAGTACCAACTTTATAATGTTTTTCTAAAGACCAGTTTTCCGTTGTTTCTGTTTGTCTTGCTATTGGTGGGGGTGAGTATTTTATATTTATAGTCACTGTTACTACATCATATTCCCTCAATGTTTATTTGTCACATCTGTTGAGCATACCCTCACACACGCAGTGAGCAAATTCAACTGGAGTTTTAACTCTAGATACACCCATCTTGATTTTACATCTCATTACCAGATGACAATCTAATTATTGATTAGTACCATTTTAATCTTTTCCCTCATGGAAATACAGAAGAAACTAGTTGCTTGGTGTCAAATTTATATTAGTAGTATTCAATATTGTAGTCCCTAACTCCCTATTCTGTCTGTCTTAGCATTTAAAATATTGCATTCACCCTGTACAAATATGAACTTTATAGTAGCCTTTAGGGAGGTTATTAAGAAAAGTAGGTAAAATGAACAGAAAAAGTAAAATATACAGAGTAATATTCAATTGGTAGCTCATATGATAAGAGATAATATAGAGATTAAGTAAATGATGTAGATAGAAATGTAAAATATATAATTCTAATAAAAAAGCTTATGTAAAGTTTATTTTGACATTTTCCTTTTTAGTCCGCCTCACAATAAGGTCTACTCTCTTATCTTAATGCCATTAACTATTTTCTTTGCTTTTCCTAATTTAAAATGATTGACACATTTGGTCTCACTTGAGGGACAATTTTTGGAAGTGAACTACACAGTCCTTGTTTCCATAAAATACATTGCAAAAAACATAACTATCTGTTGTAATTTGGGACACAGGGAGTAATGTGAGTAGAGATCACATACAGATATATGTATGAGTAGGGATGGGGGCAAATACCCGCACATAGGGAATTGTGCTGAATATTTCCATAGTTCCTACACCCTCCAAGTAAAATATACAAAAACACCCTTTATCCATGTACACAGATCTGCCAGGCAAGGCGTTGTTCTCTTCACCTAATCTGAATGATTCTAATCTGATTGGAATAAGTTTTTTTATCTGAATGTAGTTATATTTAAAGCTGTTTTTTATCTGACCTGGTCTCATCTCTGAACTGATTCCAATAAAAATAAGTAGTAAGCAATAAGCAATAAGAAAAAGTTGAAGAGAATAGGCTTTAAAGAAGAAATCATCTATCAGGTACAATTGTCATTCCATTACCTTGTTGCCTTGTTCTGGATCTCCTCAATCCACAACTTCAAGTCATTACTCATGTCACTCAAAGCTAATACTTCTCAAAAGCAGATTCTCTTGGGGGAAAATGATGCTCTCTCCATCCCATAATTGTCTTCTGTTGTCCCAAAAATTTCTTCTTGTTTCTTTTCAAAAAATGTTACGTGGTTGATAATGTTCCTCTCCTTTTTAAACAAATTGCAACCACCCAATATCATTTTCTAAATAAGCACGAAAAGTCAAAGAGGGATGGAAATGAGGGGACGTAGCAAGTAATTAAAAAATGATGATTGACCGGGGAGTAGAACTAGAAGTTTAGCAGTCATGTGACATTGGTATTTTGACAGGCTGTTGCCCGAGGGCTTAAAGACCCTTCCTTCCGAGTGATACAAAATCATTTTGCTGTCTCTGAAAATGTGGGAGACATAGCGGCAAAGGTATGCAATATATGAAAAAAGTTGGGAATATCACATGGTACACCATTTTGTATGTATGTGTAATAAAACATTACAGGAGGAAGTTTGGGAAGTCACTGCTGAGCTTTTTGGTCTTGCTATTGGTATATTTGCCTTGGTATGTCATATAATCAATCTGTCATATGATCAATCTGTTGATATGTAAAACTCATTCATGAGATGATATTCCCTCCATCCAAAAATTTTCTTCTCACTTTCCTTTTTCGTCCGTCCAAAAGTTTTCTTCCCGTTTCTTTTTTTGGCAACTTTTTTTGGGTAAAATGTCTAAGTTACCCTTCTCTCCGAAATTGCTTCCCCCAATTCTACGCCAGTTATTTCTCTCCACCCAACCTCCTTCAATTCCTTATCTTGTTCTCTTCAACCATTCTCTTCCACCAGTCCTCTTCTCCGTATTTCCTCTTGGTCAGCACCATGGTAGGGTGGCCATCTATTTCACCGGTCAAGAGCGCAACTTCTCTGCGGAGGATATCCAAACTCAAAGGTGACACCATGGTAGCTCAATTCTTTTCTACTCCACCCCACACCACACCATGTAGATCCAGATTTGAGGATAGATCTTGGTATGAGTCGGATCCAGCATGCAGTAGCATTTCAAATCTTTATTTTCAATTTTCAGATTAATATGTGAAAATTGAAAAATTTTGTTGGTGTTATAAACAATTAAACAATTTGACGTTTAGAATTCTTGGTCTATTTTAATTATGGGATTCAAATCTCCCTTTCTCAGGTCTCTATTTTTTTTTAAACTTCAAAAGTAAAGTATAGAGGATGAAAGTGAAGATGAACAGTGAAAAACACAAATAACAGGGACGGAGGTGTGAAGGAAAGTGGAGGGGCATTATGGGAAAGTCAACACAATTTTTACCTTTTCTTAAAGTGTGTGTAAACTGTAAAGTCAAAGCGGGAAAGGAATATTTGGACGGAGGGAGTATTTTTGAAGAGGTAAATGCTTTGGTTTAAACTACTATCTTGCAGGATTCACCTGTACTCTCAAATTCATATTTCACGTTGGCATTAATATGGTTGGGCACACGGGCGTTGCACCTTTGGTTACGCTACTTGTCCCTTTCAGTTCTGCAATTTAACACTGTAAGATGCTATCTATAAAAACTATGTTCAATACGCAGTGCTGAAGCAGTTCTTTGTTTTCTGATTTCTGTACAGCCCAAATTCTTTCCCATTCAGTTGAATAGTATAATATATTAATCATTTTGTTTCCCCACAAGATTTCATGAGTCACGACTGTGCGTCGTGTCATATTTGATTATTGGTGACTTGGTGTGTAAAACTATGATTGGTATTCAATTACAACTTTTTCTGGACTTCTCCCCACACAGGTTTATTTACATCTATTCTGCTTCTTTTCTTTTCAGATAAATCTCAAACGTGCACGTATACTAGTTAACTCCCATCTTTTGCATTCTACAGTTCCAGGTAATCATATCCACATCCTCATTGTTAGCGGGTCGTATGGGCCGTGTATTGTATTTGGGCCTAGTGTATCTATTCTTTGTGTTGGGCTAAGCTCTTTATGTAGTTGTATAAATATACGTTTTGTTGGTTAATGAAAGCAAGGCATTTGTACACATCTTTTTACATGGTATCGGATATGCAAATGATCATTTTCTGGTCGTTCGTTTTATATGCTGTGAAATTGATCCTTTTCCCCCCTATTTTTCAGGAATCACTGATTGCAATAGGAAAGAGAATGTTTTGCTGTGGGAAAGGTTCGCAAATCCCCGTATTGTTTTTGGTGTTTCAGTGGAAAAGATGTTTCGTGGAGAGGAAAATTGTTCATTGGTAAAAGCCCACTTTTTTTCTTGTACAGATACTTTATCCAACAGGCCAATTTAAGTCCAAGTTCAAAATCGCCATAGAATATGAAATGAAGCAACTTATTTTTGACGGATATGCAAATGACGTTCTTGAGTTTTCATCTGTACCAGATCAGGGGGGTGATCAATTTGTATCGAAAGGAGAAGTATTTTCTGGTCGTGAACAAACAGCAACCAAATTACTTTGAGGTCTTCATATCTTTCAAGGTGTGCCAAAACCAAGAAAAAGTAATTGAATTGAGAAAGGTCGCGTTCTAAACATCTTTTTGTTTTTATTATTTTATGTTGCAGGAGGGCGCTAGCAGTTTGTCTGTGCTGCGAAGTGTGTGGCAGACTTACTGGCTCTATCAGAACTGGGGCTGGTCAAATGTCGTTGACGGTCAACTTGAGAAAAGCTTAGGTGAACTAGATAATAGGTTCCCGGATTTCTTGCAACGGTTAGAAGATGTTGGATGGGATTTGAATAATTTGTGCCTGAAGACCCCCAAGGAAATTTCAGTTCAGGAAGTTGTGACAATGTGACATTATTGGCTCCAAAGGATTGTTATGGACATATATTAAATGCCTTTATAGAATTAGTTTTGAATTGGATTCTCGCGTTTAATTTAGTGTGGTTTCTATGGTAAGACCCCCGGTGGACACGTGACATCGGGCATGGTCTTGGTTATGGACAGGACTGCTGGCAGTATACGGTTTCGCTATCCGTTATGGTTAAAGATCTAAAAATGCAGGGCCAGAAATGAGGCGGTTAGAAGTGCACCCAGGGCGAGGAGTCGGGTAATTGTTATTGATAGTTGCTTTAGAAAAAACTATGCTTTTTCTGTCCCACCCGACCCGCTTTAACAAATCAATCTCTTGCATAAGATTTTTTCTTTCATTTAAGCAAGATGATTGTAAATATAAATTGATTGCATGTGGCACACTTCTTTGTTCTCCGAAAGATGTAACTTCTCATAATTTTTAAAATGAGATCATTATGACTCGTGCATAGGAGTGTAGAGGCTACATAGGTCCCCGAGGGACGAAAAAGTTTAAATTTACCTCTTCTAAGGTTCTTGGGACGGATTCTTAGGGCTTAGAATTAGTCCGAAGCAACTCGAAAACCTAATGTGATCTCTACTTACACCTGGGCAAATGTGAACGAAATTGGAATGAAGTGATAAATTTGAGTTTAAATTGTTTTGCAATTAGTACTTAATTTTAAATAGTACCAAAAGACTTAATTTTAAATAGTACCATGTTTCCGAAGAATTTCGACTTATCTGATACCTGAAGATGGAGTGATGAGCTCGGATGTAAGTCAACACGTCTTCACGCACGAAGAGATTAAAGTTAGTCTACTCCCTTGTGTTACCACAAGGTGTCGATGCTTATTTCTCTATTTTTGGTTCTTGTACCAAAAAGAAATTAGGAAAAAACATTGGGACGATATAAGTAAAAAGGACTAACACTACAACAACAACAATCTAGTTGGATTCTACAAATTGTCTTTGTCAAATAGACATGTATTGGAATTAATAGGCAAAAACTGTGTGTCGGGTAGATATGCGGGGCATATTTTGTTTGTTTAATGCAAAAATGGAATTGGTATATACACCCTCCGTCCCAAATTTACCTGTTTACTATTTATATGGTCAAAGTTTATTCATTTCTTTTCCCTATTTTCGTTAGTTATTGATAAAATAATATAGTTATGTCACCACTACTTTGATAGATTTGTTGATATAGTTTTTAAGGATGTAATTTTTATTTTTTAATTCTACACCATTTTCATATAAAATGATTTGTAACTTCAGTCAAATAATGTAAACCAAAACAGGCAATTTAAACTGGGAATAGACTAGCGTGCCCTTAAAAAAATCCAATATGACAAGTTAGAATGGCTCATTTGGTCACCACCTCCAAAGTTTTAACACTTAAAATTCTTTAGAGGTCTTGAGTTCGAGTCATTATGGAAGGGAAATGAATGATTTTTCCATCAAATATTGAGTGTTCATGATATAATAACTCCTTGTGCACAATAATGTACATGCTCGGTAACTCTCGGAGGGATGAAAGAGTCCAAATTTATCAATTCTAAGTTTCTTGGGGTCGAGTCTTAGAAACTTAGGATTAGTTCGACACAAGTTAGAAAACCTACGTATTTGAAAAAAAGCAAATTAACCCCTAGTCACACCCGGATATGTACTAATATTAGTATATTAGTTCGAGTAAATAATTTGAGAAGTGTTGAAAACTAATATTCATTGATCTCACTACTCTATGATTTGATAGGGAACAATAAAAAACCAGCACCCTAGCTGGTCTAAGAGTTTCTAAAAGTGGGGGGAAAGACAAAATACTAAAAGGGGTACAAAAGCGGAAGATTAACCAGCCCACGGCCTTGCTAACGGATACAAATTCTATTGAAATAAGACTCTTGTTTAATACTACTACCTACACGAGATATATTATCTTGTGTAACTAGCGGTGTTAAACAAGACCCTATTTCATCAAATACTAACAAGAGTGAGTTCGACTAGCACTTAGTGGGGTGGAAGGGCCACAGGCTTGGGTGGCTTGCATTGGTAGCACTTGGCAAAGAGCCCGAACGTGTCCACTTGTTTCACGAAATTGGTCATGCTGGCCCATCCTCCGAACCCAAACCCAACTACAACGACCCAACCCACTATGAAGATGTTCACAACGTACATGGCGGTCCAGCTCGGCAAGAAGAACGGAGGCTTTTCCGCAGCATTCTGCATTACATTTCCGAATTAGATTCATTCATTCTGAAATTAACTTCTTTAAAAAAGTAAATTCATTAATGGTCTTTTATAAGAGGTGATTTTCCATATTTAGTCTCTAATTCAAAGAGATATTACATTTGTGGTCAATAAAATTTTAAAAATTATATTTAGTCCTTTACGCTAAATATGACCAAATATTTTTTCCACATAGTCCCCAAATGACTGATTATGGAATAGTTTTTAAAAATTGAGGACCATGAATGGAATATCTAATAATTGTGGACTAGATATGAAAAATCAACTGTTATAATGAACCATTTATGAAATTTACTCTTAAAAACCATGACAGACAGGTAGAGAGAAGCTTGAAGTAAGCATAATTATTACCTTGCGAGCGGATGGTTTGCCAAAGGTGACCATATGAGCCAGAGATGGGACAATGTAGACCGTGAAGCTAACAAGAAGTGCCCCAACGGCCGAGTTTATAGGGCCAAAGAAAGGAAAGATTATGGCCAAGAACCATATGGGTATCACCACCGGGAGCCTTGCAAGTGCCCTAACACAAATGCTCTTTGTGTCATGCATCCCAATCACCTTTTCCCATACAAAGTACAACGGCATTGAAGCGAACCCAAATGTGATGAACTGCGCGGTTTACAAGAAACAAAAATAATCTCATTTTAGACTAGCGGTTAGTTAGTACTGTTGACGAGCATTTAAATTTAAACAGACATCTAATAAGCAAGCCAAGAGACCTGGTGAATGAGCATCAAGATGACAGCAGCATCACGCCACCTGGATTTAGGGAGGAGAGAGAAGGCATTCGAGTGGTCGAGAAGCTCATCCCCGAAGGCCCAATACACCGTGGTGGCTGAAGGAATGGTGAGAGTGAAGACATAGAGCGTGGCATACAAGTAGATGTATTTGAACTTCTGTGGTTTCCACATCGCATGCATGATTTCCCTGGTTTTTTCGAAACAAAACAAAAACTATTCAAAAGCTTCATTGTAAAAGTAAAGAGATCAATGGAAAACATGTGTTCAATAATCATGAATAATGGATTCCCCATGATTATATCAAAGTGATGATTCAAAGAACACAACCAACATAGACCAAAAGCTACTCTGTACAACAAGGAAGTGGAAGCAAATAAATCATGTTTCCTCTGCCAAACACAAAGTAGTGATTCCTGTGATTGTTTCACCAAGGTGGGATCAAAGCCTGCTCTGCAAGAGGAGTCGTGTGGGCCCACAGAAAAAGAAAGAAAACTAACCATCATTTGGATAGTGTGAAATTGGTGAGAAAGAAAAAAAATGGGTGAGAAAACAAAAAATCCAAGAAGTTTTCTCGTGTTTGTTTGAAAGAGAATAAAAGGGGAAAAGAAAATGAGTTAGGTGCCAACCCAAAAAATTTTTTTGGCTGAAGAGGTGAGAAAACAAACTACTTAGAGAGGAAAGTCAGGAAATGACTGATTTGCCCTCAATTCCTTTTCATTTTGACCGCCAAATTCTCCCCTCTAATTGCCCCATCTCTCCTTACTCTTCCATCTCCTTTTCTCCCATGTTTTCTTATCATTTTCTAATCACCCTAAGAACTATTTTTTTCCTTCTATTTTCTCTTCCCACCATTTTCTTTCTCATCATTTTCTTTCCTTCCATACTCTTTCTCATCCAAACAAAGGGTAAAACATGCCAACAAGCCACTTATGCTCGTTATGATGGCTAGAAAAGAATTTATGAAGGAAAAAGTGCTTACACAGTTACAGCATGCCCCCCAAATGTGTACAGTATGTTCGTGGCGCCCGTGAAATACAGCACTGCTTTCACTGGTGCGGAGTGTTCCACGCCTTCAACCTAGTAATAATAATGTATTACTAGTAGAAATTAACTACAGAGCAATACATACCTAATATTTCCAAATTTCTTTACATATCAAATAAGTATGTTAACAAGCAGGGCTATGGACACACACATATATATAGTCTGTTAATAATGAATGTGGCGTGTTGATTACCTGACCGTGAGCAAGAGCTGCAGCAGTGAGATACCAAGCAGTGTAAGTGGTCATTCCAAGGCCAAGGAAAGACCAAATCCTGTAGTTGTGGAAGGAAGGAATAAAGACAGTCGTCGCACAGCAAGCTCCAAATATGTATGTCCATGTCCTCTTGTCCAATCCATCATTTATGTAATATATGTTGCTGTTTCCATTCAATTCATTCACAATATATCCACAAACCAGTCAGTAAGTATTTATTCAAGCAAAGTCAACCCATTTAATTTCTTCTCCCTCTTCAAAAAAAAACAAATACGTGATTCATTATATTTCTCTCTTCAAAACAGATATAAGCCACAGATTTTCAGTTTTTTTTAAATCCGGGATATCGAAGGTTCAACTTTAATGCGAGATGGATGGAGTATACGGAGTATAAATTATACCTTGCACAGGCTATGAGCTGTATCACTGATCCAAAGAGAAGGAAAGTGCAGTTGAAGACCAGCCCAACTGCTTTCCAGTATGGACCCAAAAGCCCATCTAGCACCTCAAACCACTGCAGCAAAACATTCACATAAGCATAATTTTTAAGGAATCAAAAAACATTATGGCTAAGGTTTATGCGGGTGAACGAGAACCAACTACAATTTCTTCAAAATGCCCGGAAAAAAAAAGAGTGAAGAGAAAATAATAGAGAAAAAATGAGATCGGAGTAACGAGCACAAGAGACCTGAATGACATGGTTCTTGAAGCAAACATCTTCTTTCTCTTTTCTACTTCTGTACTCAACATACAGGACACTGACGAGATAAGCTGTCCAGCTACCAATCACACCATAGAAGACTTGGAACATTATTCCTGATAGCATTCCCAGTTGTGAAAAAGAGTATGGCAGTGTCAACAGCACTTGGGCTACCTGATTTTTCAAAATTCATAAACCTTAAAACAGTATACGAAAAATGCATCAAATTGTAATGGGAACTTTGGGTTCTTTTGGAAATTTGTGATTATTAGATGCATATTTCAGATGAAAACATTAAAGATCCATTTTGAAATGCAGTTATGATCTAATTGTTGAATTGAAAACTGTCAAATGTAAAATTAAAGAAACCCTTAACAAGGGAGTTACCTGGTTGGAAGCACAACTAAACCATGCATCCCAAGCAGAGCCTCCATGCCAGAGAAAGCTCTTCACACTGGGAATGGACGATTCTTCTTCTTCTTTGTCTCCAACAACGTCATCTTCTGCCTGGTTCAAGCTTGAGGCCATGGCTTCCTCTGCTTGCATCTGCGGCAACATTTTCTTTTCCCCGATTCTGTACGATATTGTCTGAAATCAGACACACATACGGACCCAAAACGAGACCCGGAAAAAAGAACTCGATTTGGAGAGAGTTTGGTATGGGCAGGAATGGATGGACTAAAGGAAAAAAAAGGATGGAAATTAATGGGGTTGTGTCAGAAAATGATGGATGGATAAGTTGCCGTCTGTGAGAGAAACCCAAAGGGAGGGAGAGCTCCACTTTAAATGCAGGGAGATTTGATTTGACATATAAAATTGCAGAGCGGCAGGAAGCCGGAAAAGGCGGCGAGAGATAAAGACATGCCTCATTAAAAGCTGCAGTAGCTCAGTGGAGTGACAAGAGAGAGACTCACAAAAGCACATCAATCTAAATTTTAAAATATTTTCTTTTAAAATCTATGGATTCTATAAACTCAATGGATTATTTTAAGTTTACGTAGAATTAGATAAATTTTAATGTATTTTATCAACAAGATTTTATAAAATTATGAAAAATTGTTTATAATCCATGGATTATGTTTTCCTATTTTTCCTTTTTTTCTTTTTTCTTTTTTCTTTTCTTCCTTCTTTCCTCCACCCTAGTTATCTCTTTCTTCGGTCTCCTTTCTTTCTTGCCGAGCCGCCGCCACCATCGCTTCCTCAACTGCTCTCTCGTAGTTGGCCGGCATCGCCGCCACAAATCTCATGGCAGTTTCCCGTCCTGGCAGCAACGCCGTGAAAGGTAACCATGCAAGGATAGGCAGCGGAATATAAAAATTTTAACATCCTAACATGATTATCTTGCCCAGAATCACGTACTAAAACTTATAGTAGTAAGAAATTTGTACCTTTTCTCCGTAAGCGGTAAAACGAAGAAGTCGTAGAAAGAGCGTTGAAAGCGCAAACGTAACCGTTCAAGCGTCCGGTCTCCAACTTTGACACACGAACAACGCCGGAGTCTACCACAATCTTTATGCTAGTAAAGATTATAGTAGTATAAAATATAAAGATTAAAATTGGGATAATAATAATCTTGTATATTTCTATAGAAAATATTTCTAATAATATTTAGAAAATATTATAGATATTTTCTATACA